CCCCCGCCACCGCCGTCGCCGACGAAGCTGTCGTCGGCGCTTCGCCGTGAGAAGGAGATTGAGAAGCTGAGGGTTTCTTCGACGACAAGATCATCAACCGACTCATTCTCTCGTCAATATCCGCCATCTCCCATGAGTCAGGGGCTCCGATCTCGTCAACGGAGCCCTCCATGGCCGAGAAAAACGAAGGACAGCTAGGGTTTGATGATGATAATTGAAACGATAATCCTAATCAAGAGAAGTTCCATTGAGAAAGGAGAAGATCTGGTTTCATTGTGGTTCTAGGGTTTGGGACCTGGGGAAAGAATAGAATAATTGCCGATATTGAAGAGGAGGAAACGCGAGTAAGGTGCGTTGCGTGACCTTTCACTTGGTGTTGTGAAATTACTATGGGAGCCCTCGTGGACTCGACGCGTGGGGGCTTGGAAGGAAGGGCTTTTCGGGGGGGTGAAGATTGGATGGAGATTGGGGTATTGGAGTTGTGCGTTACAGTGTTGTGATTTAGATAGGAATAACTAATAAGATAGTTTTTTTTAAAAGTATAAAAAATTCCGCTCAGAAATTTTTTTTAAAACATTTTGGAATGGAGATTTATTTTTCTTTCATCAATTTTTTTTTACATTAGGTTGGTATGACTTTGTGATTCAGATAGGCCACATCATCAAGTGACGAAACGAAGAAAATGGTTAAGTACTAGGAAATCAAATTCCCAAGGTGATTTGATGCTGTTTGTTTCGATCAAATTCTTAGAAACTCGTGGGAAAAGTGGATTCCACACGACGAACTCTGTTCATCGTCAAAATACTTAATCAAAAGTTTATGTTTCTTTATGAAACTTGACTGAAAAGTACTGTGTAAGAAATCTTCTTCTTTTTTTCCTCCTTTTTAATTTTGCATAGAAAGAGGGAAATAGGTTCATAGCCAACTTTCTATTTGATCAAATAAGAGAATTAGAAAGTTTTAGGAGTAGAGAATTCTGAATTTGTCAGAATTATAAAAGTCAAACTTTGGAGCTAAGATAGTCCTTGAAGTCATTCGCCAGTAGCTAATCATCGGATAGTTTCTCTCCTATGGAGGTTTTTGTAGCTTGTTAAAGACAATTTATTTTGCATAAAGAAAAGATAATGTATTTACTTAGTTTCAACTGCTTGAGAGTTACTTGTAACTAGGGGTGCTAAACCGTATCCGTATCCGAGAAAATATCTGTAACCGTATCCGTTACGATACAGATATAGTTACTCAAATCTATAACCGATAGGATATGGTTACGAATATGGTTTTGTAGTGAAATATCTATATCCGTATCCGAAATATCTTAATACTATATTAGTCATACTCTTACGATAGTTTCGATTCTTAGATTATGGATTTGTGGTTAATTTTGATGATCAAGTTTCGATTCTTAGATTATGGATTTGTGGTTAATTTTGATGATCAAGATGTCTAATCTTAACTTTTCAGTTATATGTGGTTAATTTTGATGATCAAGATGTCTAATCTTAACTTTTCAGTTATAATGAAGATATTAACGAACTTTTTTGTATTACATTAACTATATTTTTCTCAATATTATCTTCTTTTCTCATATCTATTTTGTATTTGTATGCATATCCGTTTATATATCTGCATGTATATCCGTAACTGTATCCGATTTTAGCGAATATGGTTATAAATTTTTCTTACCGAGATATATTTGTATTCGTATTTGTATCCGAGATGGGTAAGCAGATATGGATATGATAAGCATCATATTCGAGTCGTATCCAGACCGAATGCACTACTACTTGTAACTCATGTCCGATAACAGGGCTGAAAAATAGTTAGCACAGCAAACAGCATAATTCCATGCAAGAAGTGCCATTATTATTGTGGTTGAAATGATTTGGAAGAAGATTTTGTAGGTATCTGTTTTTTGAAAATAATATAGTGAATTGTCATTGCATCAACTGTTACTAGCTACACGTACATAAGACGACGATTGATTTCTGCTGCTTTTTTATTTCTTTTTTAATGGTTTTTGATTGATTTATGTTGTTTTTTGTCGTTCGTTGTTCGATTAGAGACATAATAAGATTCAAATGAGGTACAAATAGGATGTCTACAAGTTCAAACGATAAGATTCAAATGAACATAATATCGATTACAGGGTTTGATGGTCGACCGCCAAAATCGTCACGGTCGACCGTCACCAAGTCCAGAAAACTCCTGAGGCTATGCACATTTCTAGTCGACCGCCCCAAAGCTCGCGTCGACAGGCAAGCATCCAAAACTCCGACTGCTCCAAAAATCATGTTCTTCTCTAATGTTTTCGTCGTTTCTACAATTCTCCACATCGACGAAGTTTTCCCAAAACTGAGCTAACACCAACCAAACCAAACGTCCCACTTGTTGCATTCAGTACAAAGTGGAAACAATCCACGACAACGGACTCAATCCACAACAAATTGAGAACACAAACGTGAATGCGAACAAACTCCAAAATATCGACATCAAATCACCAAACCGGCTGCATCAAAAAATGACTGCTTACGTATCTACTTACCCAAGGAATCAAGCCTTCACGTAGTTCACCAAATGGCCTCCAAAGGCCCTCAATCAACGAGAAGAGTTTTCAACACTTCTCCAACATCACCAACAAAATTGCAACTAATAACTCTCCCAACGGCCCCAAAATGTAACAAACCAAACACCTCCACCTGAGATGAACCAACGACCATAGCCAAATCCAAACTGTGTCCACCAGCTGCACTCAAATCAACCAACTCATCATCTGCATCCACATCAATATGATCCACAATCTATGTCACATCTGCTGGAATCCTAAATGATATATAATGATCTGGAGAACGTGGAGTAATCTCCACCCAACGTGGAGTAGCATCACTCTCCACCTACTATAATATCCCAACGATCTGTTCAATACTCTCCACCTGCCGAGAGTTAAATGTGACATATCTGCTCAGAACAATATCAGAGCCCAATACCTAATAACCAAACATGACTCCGAATCCCAAATGTGCACTCGGATCAAATCTTACATCCTGGATGTAATAATATGTTAGGCGACCAAATACCCGAAACAATCCAAAATCTGAAGCAGCTCCACTAGATCCAAATACTCCAAAAGCAGACGGCAACCTATGAATAAGATGGCTCCAATATGTCAAAGCCTCAACACCAGAACTATTCTGCAAACCACTGCTCGACATCAAACATCAATCCTCTTCCAGCAAAGAACAGCTCATCAAATCAGTCATCTCATCTCGTTGCCCTAATGTTTCTTTTCCAATGAAGCGTCTCAAACTAACGTGAGCTAGGAACAAATGCAGAAAAGAACCCTTACCAAAGTCAAAACGACGTATTACTTTTCTGCCAATACACTTCTTCCACATGTTGTTGTTAGTAGGACTTCACTCCAACAGGACTTGGTTGCAACCCACAAATGCCTAGAATAGTCTCCAACACAGGAAATCAAATATCTATTAACTCCCAATGATGCCTCCTTGGAAGCCCCAAACGCCTATGTGAACATCATCTAGAAGGCCCTTCGCTCGGTGAATAGAAGTGTCAAACTTCACCTTAGTCTTCTTGCTCACACCAACATGTTCACAGGACTTCAATCTGCAGGTCAAAGCACTTCTCACCAATCCATGCACGGCATCAAAACTCGAATATCCCAGCCTCAAATGCCACAGTCTAGCCAAAACCAAAGAAATCGTTAGCTCTCTACCTGTCACCGTGCTTCCAATCAAATAATACAAATTGTTCTTCCTGACGCCCTTCATCACAATCATGGACCCCAATGTGACCTTCAAAGATGCATCCTCTAAGGTCACCCGATAGCCTGCTGCCTCCAAAACTCAAAGTGAAATGATGTTCTTCTTTAACTGCTGAACGAACCTCACTTCCTTCAACTCTCGAATCAACCCTTCACACATCCTAATCCGAACAGTACCAATACCACCAATAGGAAATTCATGATCATTACCCATAAGCACGACATCCCCTCTTTCTAACTCCTCAAAGCTGGAGAACCAAACCCTCTTAGGGCAAATATGGTATGAAACACCTGAATCCAACATCCACTCCGTAGAGTCGGCAACACAAACTGACGGTAGCGCAGAGCACAAATAGCCCGAAGAATCTGAATTGTCATCACTAGCCTTGGCAACATTCACCTCGAAGTTTGTATAGCTTTCCCCTTATTCTTCCCGGCTCGATCTTTCAACTTTAGGCATTCAGACTTCCAATGTCCATCTTCTTTGTAAAAAGTACATTGATTCCAACCAACTGAATGATGTGCTCCTCTAGACTGCGACGTCCTATTTCGGTTTGGACTCTTTCCTCTTGCAACCAATGCCCCAGATATTGTATCAATCGAAGTCTCCTTATCATTCTTCCGAAGCTGATAATTCACAAATGCAGTGGTGACCTCACTATACGAAAGAGATGTTTTCCCATTAATAAGAATAAGAACGAATGTCTCATATTCCTCGTCAAGCAAGAAACTCAACAACAACAACGCTTGTCCTCATCTTCAATCATAACATCCACATTCACCAAATCTGCAAGAAGCTTCGTGTAGTGGTTCATGTGATCATCAATGGGGATCCCCTTCTTCATTTGGAAGCAATATAGTCCCTCTTCAAATGCAAGTGGGTTTTCACACTCTTTGTCAAATACTTGCCCTCTAGGATCTCTCAAATCTTCTTCGCCGAAGTCTCATTGATCACATCATATTTCAAATCTTGTGTTAGACAAGACCTAATCACACAACACGCCGTTCGATTCATCTTCTTCCAAACATTTTCCTCAATATCATCCGATTTTTCATCCAACTCCAAAGTATCCTCCAAATTTTGTGCGTTGAGCCCATCCAAGACTTCACATCTCCAAAGACCAAAATTGTTAGTGCCATTAAAATTTTTCACATCTATCTTCATAGAGTGAATACTCAAACTTTGGACGATCTTTACGCCAGAAGTACCGTCCACAACTCCTTCTTTCTCAGCCATCTTTCTCAAAGCACCAACAAACAAATGCGGAACAACTAAAGAATAAATCTAAACTAAAAAAGAGAGATTTTTACCTCCAACTGAAACCCGAACAAGAGCCTCCGAAAGATCTCACCCCCACACGACAAAAGACAAGATCCACAATAGTAAAAATCCCACATTTGTTACCAACTGAAACCCTAGACGAACTTCCAAAGTGATCTACTCCTCCACCTAATCCCAAGTGTAGCTTGAAGCTCTGATATCACTTGTTGTACGTGACGGCCAAACTTAGGGGTGCCGAGAACAAACACAAACGCCTAGAGAAAAGGCCAAACACAAACAAAATAACGGCACAAACACAAACAAACGAATTTTACGTGGTTCGGCAAGTTGCCTACATCCACGGGGCAAAAAGGGAACAGGTTTTCACTAATAGAGAAGAAGAGTACAAACCGAGATTACAAAATCACTCAAATTCACCAATTAATCTCACAAACAAAGCTCTCAATCTCTCAAACAAAACAGTAACCAATAGCTCAGAAAAAACTCTCTTTTCTTGGCTTAAAACAAACCCTTGACTGCTCCAAAAAAAACCCTAAAACGTGTTTGTATTTGTACCAAACACTAATCTCAAACAGAACAGGAAAACCAAAACTGGGTCTGACCCGACTGGCAGTCAACCGTGGAAATCGTCGCGATCGACTGACCAGAAAGACATAAACCCAATATCGATTACAGGGTTTGGCGGTCGACTGCCAAAACCGTCGCGGTCGACCGTCACCAAGTCCAGAAAACTCCTGAGCCTGTGGACATTTCCGGTCGACCGCCCTAAAGCTCACGGTCGACCGACAAGCACCCAAAGCTCTGTCTGCTCCAAAAATCTTGTTCTTCTCCAATGTTTTCGTCATTTCTACAAGAACTGCACTTGTCCAAAACATTGTATGAGTACTGTCTACATACTTTACGCTCATACGAGGTACTCAGAATCATACTTGAACCCCTTAGGATATCACAAACTTATTATTATCTATATGGACTCACAAACTTATACAATCACCAATACCTTCCTCCAAATATTTTGAGCTTTAAGGAATAAGTCCACTCAAGCTTCCTAATAAGCTCCTGTTGTAACTAAAGCTTATAGCTTGAGCAGATTAGATAATATTCAATACAAAAATTTACCTGATACTAGCTCCCCACTGATCGAATCAGCAAGTTAATTAGTGAATATTTAGGAAAATACACATGAATGCAAACATTCTAAGGACATAATATGTCTGACTGAACAAAAACAAGAAGGAAAAACAAACACCAAAAAATATAGGAGATTCATCATGTTGTTTTTTCAAAGGGTGGCACTAGGGACACACCCCCCAACGACAACCTTAACCACATTATCTCTCTCATTTGCTAAAGTGCATCGGGCTCCACATGGGATATTAAAATCTCATGTGGGGCCCGATGCACTGTAGCAAATGAGAGAGAGTGTGTGGTTGGGATTGTGGTTGGGGGTATGACCCTATCATTTTTCTTTCCAAAACTAGTAAATTACCAGCTACAGCGGTCTTTCTACAAGATTTTCATAATTCAATCTTTCCCTTTCCCAAAGCAACGCTATTAATAGTGTACATGCGTAATAAAAGCTGAATACACCAAGTAGCTGAAGGTGAGTGTAGGCTGTCTAAAAATCACAATGGATAGCTGATCCATATCAAGCTCCGACAATGGAAGTCACAATCAGACGACTTTCTAATCACTGTATTCGCAATTCTACAATCGCTACAAACACGGCCTCATTTCTGAGATGATTGATCTTGATGGTTGCGACAACAACATGACTAATATTATATTAGCAACTATTAGAGATGCTGATGAGCAGTGTAATGATTTCAGAAATAAAAGGTTGGACGTAGTTGGTGAGTTGCTTGGTAGAGAGCTGTGGGCAAATATTCATCTAAAAACACTATGGATGTTGATTCCCGTCAAGTTCCAACAACGAAAGCTACAATCAAATAGCTTTCGCGCCGACAATCGAAAGCTGCAAATGGAGGACTTTTCACATAGATCGAGAAGAGTTACAATTCAACGACACTTCCGACAATTGATGAAAACTCTATTCAGCAGTCTTCACATTCTGCAGTGAAAGTTACAATCTGACGACTTTCGCACTCCACAACAGCTAAAGCTAGGATTACTGAACAACGGTCCTTGCAACGCTTTACAGAAGAAGTTACAAGTCAACTAGCTCCTTTTAAAACGCGGATGTCATCTCCGCGTTACAATTCTGGAAGTGCAGGCGACCCCCGCGTTTCCAAGCTATAACAAGCCAAACGCGAGCGACCCTCGCGTTCGGGAGGTTCAGCCAACACCGACCCCCGCGTTTCCAAACGGTAACAAGCCAAAACGCGAGCGACCCTCGCGTTCATTGGTGTTCAGCCAACACCCAACCTCGCGTCTCAATTCTAAGAGGCGAAGTTGGGTTCTGAACGGAACGCCAGATTGGGCGTTTGACTCGTTCAAATACGAGTCGAACGGTTTCAGAACTGTTTCCCCACGATCTGAGGAAATCACGCCCACTTAGGAGCGGATTTAGAGGGCAGTTACAACCTCTGATCCACCTATAAAAACTCAACAAACTCAACTGATTAGGGGCTGGTTTTTTTTGGAACGGAAAAGTTGGCAGCAGGTTGGATTTTCAGGATCTCAACCACTCAGGTTTGGCGATGCAACAGCAGCAGCAATAAAATCCTTGGAGATAGGATTTTTGAATCAAATTTAAAAGATCAAATCTGAGAGGATTCTTCAACAACAGAATATCAGCTTGGTCATTAACCGAATTTTCGGTTCTAACAACTCTATTAACAGAGTTCTAATTCGTTCAGAGTTCTTAAACTCATTCAGAGTTATCCATTAAATTTTCCACAGAAGTTCATTGTTCCCACGAGATAGAAGACGGTCGGATCGTCAACGGAGAGCAAATTCGACGCGAGCAATCGAAGGAGGCATTCCATCGCCACTGAGAAGAACCCAGTTTTAAACAAAGGAGAGAATCAAATTCATTCTCTTCTCTTTTGTAATCAAATTGTAATCAGAATCAAAGGAATACAATATGTACATGCGTAATAAAAGCGTGCATTTTTCCACAATACCCAGTATAAGGAGTCATTTTGATACATGCCGTTTACAAAATTAACTGAAACATATTGATGTCAATCTGAACTGTTAGAAGATAAGATTAAATCACGGAGAAATAGATTATATATGTTTAGTTGAATACACCAAGTACTTGTCGACATCTCAGATTAATAATCCACAAAAAAATAATGACGGAAAGCACGTAGCAATTCGGAAAACATGTAGAAACCTAACAAAAAGCTGTCAAAAGTATTTCACTGTGTTTTATGTATTTCTTTCTGCAATCTTCAATTGCATATATGTGATTGCACACTAATGGAAGCCCATCATACGTCAGCATTTGCAATTGGATTATTAAGCATTACATCTCATAAAGTGGAACGTATGCATTAAGTCAGCAAGATAGCTAGATTTAAAAAAAAAAACATATATCTCCAAGCGTGTAGAAAAAGGGAGCTACATTTTCAATAATAAGAGGTTCACCTTCTTAATGCAAATCACTCACAGCAGAATTGAAAGAAATGCATGTTAATCTTGATGATAAGAAAACAAATCTGAAGAACAGGAAGAACAACACTGTACATTCTGGCTGAGTGCACAAATGACTAGTCTTCTCTAAACACAAATAAGTAAATGACTAATAAAAGATAACTAGAGTAAATAACTGCCGTTGTGAATGTAAGCGCGACCAGACTTGAGTGTTAGAAGTCAATGAAGAAGAAAACTATACATTCTGCCTGAGACACCACACAACTACTCGACATCCTCTCAAGAAAAAAAGTAAAAAATAGAAACATTTAGCGTATGTAAGTGCCCTCTGAGTGAAGAGAGATAAAAACAAAGGAAGAGTATGACTGACTACCTTACTAGATTGCTTTCTCTGAATAGCAATGAACACCTAATAGGTTTTGCTCGGTTCAAATGCTACGTGTAATATGTAGAAATTTTTTACCACGTATAGATTCATATGTACAGACTTTAGAATACTGGCATTGCTTCTTGGTGATAATTGGTTACCTGCCAAACAAGAAATTAGTACATGTATGGAATGTAGTTGGTACGTTATGACAAAAATATGGAGAAAAGAAAGCCATGTAATTATCAGTAGTAAACAATATTGCTGACATCAAAGAGAAACTTAGTATACGGTATAAGATATTCACACATCACAAACATAATAATGCATCGTCATGGTCAATAATTCAGTTTCAACTGGAATCTCAGAATCATTATACACAATACACCGGTGTCCTGATATTTTCATCAGAATTTGGATAATACAGGACAGGCGAAGAACATCCATGCACCGTTCGTTATAAGAAAACAACTGGAAATAAAAGATGGTATGTTGTCTATTTAGTGATGGTCATGCTATGAAAGCGAATTCTATGAATTTTTTTTACTAGGCCAAGCCAATAAACGCAAAATGATACCATCGGTTCATAGCATGTATTTCCAAAATATTTCAACAGCTTGCAACGTAAACCAACGCGTACATTTTCTAGTATAAGTTTAGGTTCCCACCAATCTTATTTTCAGTATATCTGTTTGCCATATACTGTGAAGTATGTTTGGATTTATATCTTCAGTTATATAATAGTAAAATTTGAATCAATGTCATCCTCCAGTTCGAATACTATACTAGAAGTGAACAGAAGAACACTAATGATACATCTTACTAAATTCATTCCTAAGCATGACAACCTCCAAAAATCAATTGATCACACAAAAACCCGTATCAATTCCAATTATACAAAGAATCACAACAACATCCTCAACCCCCTAATCTCCTCGCCCTAAATTTTCATACATTGTACAGATTCAATCAATGGTAGAACACAACAGGGGGCACATCAAACCCCGACTCATTAAGGAACGGTATTACCTGCGGCCTCTCAGCCAAATCCCGATAGAACTCATACTCAGCATCGTAATCATGCAAATCGAGCTCCGCCTTCTGATTCGTATGATAATGGTGCTTCGCCTCCGTTGACTTCCCAAACCCAAACACACTAACCCTCTCACAAATCCCGGTCGCCAGCATCACAGCCTGCATCCCCGACGAATAATGAAACATCTTCTCATCATGAGCCTTCCCCCATTCCTCCGCAAACTTCCCTGTTTTCTCGACGAACCTCTTCAAAGAATAGAACTTTACCATGCTCGAGCAGAGGACGTCAAACTGTGGGTCGGTGACGAGCAACGGCGACTTGTGGGACCCGTTGCAGGCGGCGTAATCGAGAAAATGGATGGGTTGGCAAATATACATGACCATGGGGATGTTTTCGCCGTAGGGATGGCAAAAGCAAGTGGCTCGCCGAGCGCAGAGGTGGAGAATGTTTTGGATCCCACGTGGCGGGAGAACCCCTCGGTCCGGGCGTTATTGAGCCTGATCACGGCGTCGTGGGAATCGATCAGCTCCCCGTGGTCGGATTTGAGCAGGATCCCGCTGTTTCCGACGACGGCGCACGAATTGTAAAGATGCTTATTGGATTCGGATCCATTGAAATGGAGATCGAGAGGGCGTTTGATTAGGGTTTTGAGATCGGACATGATCTGAGGGCGGAGGCGGCGGCGGCGGATCCAGTGGCGGAGGGAGCGGCGAAGCTCCAGGGAGGCATACGGCTAGTGCTTTTGAGGGGAGCGGAAGCGGACTTAACGCGATTAACGGGTCGGTCCCGTGCGTTCTGGGATCCGATAAGTGGGAGGCCGGGCGGTGTCTCGCTAGTGGCGGGAAAGCTGCTTTCGATAGGTCCTTCGTACCTGGCGTCGGAGCGTCGGAGTCGCCGGGAATCAATGGCGCGGAGGGAGAGGAGAGTGGAGTTGGGTAGCGGGGGTTTTCGGGTATGAATGCGAATTCCGGGTCCGAAGGCGCGCGAAGCCGAAGGAAAGAGCGGCCAGAGGAGAACGTGGAGGCGCGTGAGGAGAAGTGAGCGCCTGGAAGGGAGGCGGGAGGGAACGCTGGTCATATGGTGATGTTTGGCGGGCTAGGGCCCATTGGTGGAGCTCCCGAAGCATCGGGGTGGTTTTTGGATTGATTTGGGCTTTGGATCTGTATCGGGTTCGGGTCGGTATTTAATGAGAGGGGATGGTGAAGCTAATGATGGGAGATTTTAGAGCGTGTTTTATATGGAGGCGGAGTCAACGTTGGGAAAGCCTCCGACCCGATATCGCTGGTGCCTACCCTAGATGGCTGCGTTTCTGTAGTGGGAGATTGGCCTGGTTGTTATTAATTAATTAATTATTTAATGAGGAAATTTAGTTAAGCCCCTAGATTCCGTTTGGTTGAGTTAATGGTTTAGTCTAGTTAGTCCATTTTGATTTTTGAGTAAAGAACTATTAGCTCACACTTCTATCAAAAATAAAAAAATAAAAAACTATAACCTCACACTTGAAACAAAGGAAATGCGCACACTAGAAAAAACAAATCCTGGACGTCCCGCGGACTTGGAAAACAAGAACTAATAAATACCTATTTTCTTGGCAGTTCGACTATAATAATCTCATAGTTCTGTGACAATAATAAATGGCGTGCACCGTAATACTCAATGGCGAATACATAAAATTTTTATTTATACAGTGGACAATAAATATCTATTTATCTTAAATAAAAATATAATATTATAACATTGTGATGTCCAAGGAGGAATGCAACTTAATACACTTAGATACTTCTTTTCATTGCATTTCGTATATAATATGATAGCAAAAGAAAAGTGAGAGAGTGTTGTGGTGCAAATATTTTTAATCTTGAAGGGTGGGGCCGTGGGGGTGATTTGGCCAATTAGGAAGAAACGAAAGCAGATTTCAAATTGTTAGGGGTGCAATTGCACCTCTAACTCATGTGTAAATTCGCCCCCGGTAATACAAGTCTTGTAATAAGTAAAGCAACTATTTCTTAACATGTTTAACGAGTTGATAAGTAAATTGTTATGGGGTTTACTTCTTTAACTTTATATAAAATCATCTTTAACATTTATATATTATGCATTTCTCTCTAAAAAAAATTTATGGCATGTATCCCGTGATGAAATTACTACAAGTTTACAATACGCGTAGAGTGAGACAAAGAGCTTTTCCCCCCTTTTTAATGGATCCCTAAAAAGTCTTGATTTATTTTTCACTCTCAAGTAAACTTTCACTTACTTAATCGGTATATGGGTTGGAAATAAGGGGTTGTTTGGTTCGTTTTTTAACTCGGTGAAAAAGTTTTACATCGCCTTCATATCAGATTTTTCGTGGTCACGTAGAATATAAGCTTTCCGTCGGGTTTTTTTTTTCCCATCTTTAGTTCGCTAGGGTAGAAAAAGGGAAACTCGGTAAAAATCGCCATCACATCAGATTTTTTTCTCTCCCCCAATTCCTTTCTCAACCTCGTGAAATCGACGAAAACTGCAGCCACGTCAGCTTTTTATCATATAAACAAAAGTTTTCCCTTTTTCCCCATGCGAACCAAACACAAGAAAAATAAATACATTGGTTTCCTACTGTTTTTTTATGCGAACCAAAACGAAACAATCTATTTCTTGAAAAAGTTTGTAAAACTTAAAACTTGTGTTTTTATACATGGAAATGCATTTCCCTGTATCTAGGAAACGAACCAAACAGCCCCTAAATCAAAGAACGAAGAATAAGCAAGAGAGTCGGGGATTTTATTAGAGCTTTGCTACAGGGACCCAAAATATGGGACCAATAGGTGGGACAAGTGAGGTGTCCCCCTCCTATTGGATAATAAGTTGGTCATCATTAATGATGACTAACTCATTATCCAATAGGAGGGGGACACCTCACTTGTCCCACCAATCGGTCCCATATTTTGGGTCCCTGTAGCAAAGCTCTTTTATTAATACATGATAGAGATTTGGGGATTAATTAATACATGATAGATGGTATTAATGCTGTTTATTAATTAAGAATTCTCTTCTAGACAGAAGGAAGCTCTACTTTATTAGATAACAACAGCGATGTTGATTAATGCTGTTGAACGACCTTTTTAGTAAGAGTTTTGCGTACGTAACGCGGTCCCGAGGATATGAATCCTTGGGAGATAGGTTCTCCTTGACGAGTGAGGAAAACAACAAGGAATAGCACTTCGGCTAGAAGATGAAGGAAGCACGTGACTTCAACGCATGATGCACTTTTTCTCCCCTTCAAGATTTTTAATTCAACTATGGTAAGATCCATTTTCTTTTAATAAACATATGAGTTATTAAAAAGGGGTTTTTTCTCCTCCCGTGAAAGTCGCCTTTGAACATGAAATATTAATAAGAATCATCTTCAAAGTTTTTCCATACAGAAACCATTTTATAAGTTGGCTTAACTTTCAAATGCTGATTTAACTTTCAATCAACCACTTGATGCTAATTTATCCTCATTATTTATCTAATACGTCAAAAATACTCTCTTTTCTTCTCTCTTCTTCCTTTTAATCCACTCAACTACCCCCACGCCACCTCCATCCTCCTGCCTTCTCCTTCTCCATCCATTCCACCTTTGCTTACTGTTAGTTTTAATATTGAAGGAGACAGAAATTCTGAGGCGTGAAACACTTTCCTTAAAAAAATATTTGTCCCACTTGATATTCAAAGTTGTTTCGGGTTAATGTAAATTTTCTTCCCAGGATACAACAGAAAATGAAAATTCCAGTAAGCAAATCTGGAATTTTCCTTAATTCGTTGTGAAACAAGTTTGTAATATTGCAGAAGTTTTTGATAGAAAAGATTCAGAGAAAGAATTATTTTTGATATCTGAAAATATAAACTATTTATAGATTTTGAAAATGTGCTTCCAACAGTCATAACTTTTCAAAACACCCCTTGGATTAAACAGCCACTTTTCAACAGTCTTGTCTTTTCATAATTTTTAAAATTTAAAATAATATTAAAAATAAAATATATTCAATATATAATTATATATATATAAAATAGAACATTTAAGCGGTAGCGGCTAAGTGCTAAGTGCTAAGTGCATCTAATAATCGCGTCAAAATCTCGCATTATTCGCGCTACCCGCACGCGGGTTTAGAAGCCTATACTTTGATCCATTATTCAAAGCCCACTAAGCATTCAATGCTTTTAAATCTCTAAAACAATGCTCAAAATTCCAATGTGGGACTATCTTGTTTTTTACAAACAAATGTTGGATTTAATCTAATAAATCTATTTGTGGGCACATATGATTAAACAATGTGTATTGCTATCTTTCAGGATAACCCACTAAAGTGATCAATTAAGTTGGGTTAATTTGGTATTTAAATGATCATGGGGTCATATGTGCAGATACCAGGTTGTAATTGTAATTTATTGAGGGGCTAAATTACAAAAGTACAACATCTATAAATAAGGGGTTATGGTCCCTAACCTAGGGTTACATTCTCTAATTCTCTTCACCCCCATCTAAGAGAGAAATTTGGATTTTAGAGGAACCCTAAGGTTAGAAGATCATTAAAAAACCCAAATCAAGATTTCATCCATGGATTCAGGTATAAGCTTCCGCTCTCTTGATTATTGTTAATCTCTTTGAATTAATCATGGCTATATGGTTTTAGATCTCAAGTTTTGATGTAGATCTAACAAGTAATATCAGAGCCACCTTGATTAATTCTTAGGGATTTAAGTTTTATTGGGTTTTTGATCTTAAATCTCTGGTTAAAGATTCAATTTTTGGGTTCGGGTGAACAGTAATGTTCTCGGATGAACAGTAACGAAATTTTTTTTCGGATGAACAGTAAAGTATTTTTCCGGATGAACAGTAACTGAAAAATCGCCGGTGAACAGTAACTTTTGGGAATTTTTTGGATTTTTCTTTGATTTTTTCTTCAATTTTTTCCAATTCTGGATCTGTTTTGAAAAGAAAAATCAAAGGTTTTTTTGGTTTGTCGGCGGCGGTTTCAATTTGAAACCCTAAGGGTTCATGGCGAAAATTAAGGAGGTGGTTACCTCAAACGAACTTCGCGTTTGTTTAATTTTAACCTAGCTTCGCGCTCAACGAACCTCGCGTTCGTTCTAAGGTGAACCTCGCGTTCAACTCAGGTGAGCGTCAAGCTCAATTTTAACGAACCTCGCGTTCGTTCTAAGGTGAACCTCGCGTTCAACTCAGGTGAGCGTCAAGCTCAATTTTAACGAACCTCGCGTTCGTTCTAAGGTGAACCTCGCGTTCAACTCAGGTGAGCGTCAAGCTCAATTTTAACGAACCTCGCGTTCGTTCTAAGGTGAACCTCGCGTTCAACTCAGGTGAGCGTCAAGCTCAATTTTTTAACGAACCTCGCGTTCGTTCTTCAGACGAACCTCGCGTTCGTACTTCAGACGAACCTCGCGTTCGTACTTCAGACGAACC